CTACTATATATATCTTTATATATAAAAATTACGTGTCACATTGTTTGTCCGCGATGACCTCCTAAACAACTGAACTGATTTTAATGAAATTTTGCAGACTGTGTGTAGTTCGGTCATAGAAAGGGTCATCATAGGAAAGGGCAGAACTCTGTCTGGAGTCTCTGTCAGAACTCTGTCTGCTCAGCTAGTATATATATATATATATATATATATATATATATATATATATATATATATATATATATATATATATATATATATATAGTACCTATTGTGTTACATAAATAGAGTACCCACAGAACATTCGGAACAGACTGGAACGCGGGCTGCTGCCGCCTGCAGTCGGGTTCGGAATCATGACTGCAGCGACATGACGCGACGACATGTCGCAGCGACATGACGTGATGACATGTCGCAACGACACGTCGCCCGCTATTTTTTTTAATGTTGGATCAGACCTAGTCATCTTGTCGGCTGTATGTTCGATGTCACGCCTACACAAGGCGTCTTGCTTAGACATGGCATCTACTCAAGTAAGCAAGTTTGCGCCTGTACATCTGCCATGACTCATTTAGCGAAAACACGTGTAGTGTCCACGCTTTCATTTAAATTAAACTTTTATCAAACATGAGTACCATAAAAGTGAATATTGAACATTTGATAGCTCTAGCAGAAAAACCTGTAATTAGAGACAATACTAGTGAGGAATATAAGTTTAGGAATTTGAATACCACCACCTGGAATGACTTACATATCTTCATCACTATGACAGCCCGTCACAAGAATGCCACAACGCACGGTCCTGAGCCACCTGCATCCATCGACTTCCTGCATGTTTTACCAAGTCGTCACTCCATCTAGTGGGAGGTTGCTCTACACTTTGCTTATCGGTACGAGGCTGCACTCGAGAACGTCGGTTCTTCGAGCTGTATGGCCGGCCCATTGCCACTTTAGCTTACTTATCCGTTGGGCTATGTCGGTTACTCTGGTTCTACTGCGGATATATGCATTTGTAAGTTTATCACGCAAAGAAACCCCGAGCATAGCCCTCTCCATAGCTTGCTGAGCGACCTTGAGCTTTCTCGTACGGCCAGCAGTGAAGGACCACGTTTCAGATCCATAAGTCATCACTAGTAACACGCACTGATTGTAAAATCTCGTTTTAAAGTTTTGACGAGCAGATCGCTGCCCAGCCGAGTCAATTCCGTCGATTGACCTCTTTGTTGAAGTTGGACTTAGCTAGTCGGACTATTTGTCCCAGGTAAACTTACTCGTCAACAACTTCGAGCTGAGTGCTCCCAACAACTACCAGCATAGGTGTGACTTGGACGTTTAAATTTTAACTGTTAAAATAAACAATATATAGTTTTATATATATATGAAGGGTTATTTTTCGAAGACTAGCCAAATCTAATAATTAAGTTCAAAATATAAATACTGATATATACTTATTGCAGTTTTGAAAAGTACACGTAACAACGCCCCTTGCAACAATAAACATTCGGATTTTGCATACTCTGTGCAGTTTGGTCCAACTTGAGAGATAGGATAGTTTTTATCCCGATCCCTTCCGCCACTTCATCTGTTTCGATTATTAAGTCATGAATTGTTTAATTTTAATTTTTTTATTATTTTATTCTTATTCGTATTAATTTTGTTTATTAATTTGTCATTGTAATATGAAGTGTCGGAATCAAAGAGATTTAAAATATATATATACTACTACTTAAATGTCTTTGGTCGGAATAAATGTCTTTGTCTTTTATGTCTCTATGGATGTTTTTTTATTTCTTCTCTCTTTATTTTACCACAGACTCAGGGCCATCGCCAAGTGTAAAAAGGTAGCCTGATGATGACTTTGTGTTTACAAGACATAGGTTTTTTAAATCTGTATAGTTATTATGACCAATTTATTGTATCAAGGGAATAAATTAATATTGGAACTGCAAAATTATTAATGTTCTTGGTGAGTTTGCGTGAGTTTAGGTGAGAAATAACTCCTCCCTGAACGAGTTCTCGCCTTGTTGTGGCGGGGGAGGGGGGAGGGGTTAGTATCCGTGGCTTTGTAACCCATGGTAAACGTAGGGCGTCTCACATGGCTGGCCCGAAGTGAAGTGTTCGCCCAAAATGGCCACTCTGAGAGGGCTTGTCGAGCCCTTAGATGTGTGTTAGTGAGCTGCGGCTAGAGGAGAGTCCTCTCTCTATAGCGCTGCAGCCGAGGTGGAGTCACAAGGGAAGAGGATTTTTAGTATAATAATGCGCCACTTGACTATCTTCCGCGAATTTGGCGAGAATGTACCACTTGGTGCTTCTAAGCGCTCGTTTTTTCTTACTCGTAGCTCCATGGCCTCCACATATCGGGCTTGGGAAGTTGGAGAGGGAAGTCCTCAACTAAGCAGGGGTCCTCACTGGTGGGGCCGCGGATGTGCTTGAAAGCGTTTCCGAGACCCTGTCAATGTGTGGTAAAGGTGGAACATCATGGGGTTTTAGTATGTGCAAGTCCGACATAATCCCTTCTTGCCCCCGTAAAATAGGTATGCCTAGGCATTTTCTCATTTGAAACCCGGAACAAAATCCGTTACGAATAAAAACGTAGATAGATCAACGCAGCGTCGATTTTTGTTTTATATGAGGTATAAATGTTGCTTCTAAGGTCTAGGTTCCATATATTTTTTAGATTGTCATGTATTAGTTCCGTGGACGTTCACTTCTGGTGTCAGCGCATATTATAATCAATCCATATATAGAGGTCAGTGGTTGAGGCTGGCTTTTCACTATGGGATATAATAATAATAATAATGTTTACTTTATTTGCTCTCACAAGTTTACATTGCCTTTTAATAATATTGGAGGTATATGCATTTTAATTTGTGAGAGCTTGGTGTTAGTACTAGGAAAGACCCGTATGACTAATCACCAGACTCTCGTCCCTTAATGTTAACATTTATCAACATACCTTTAACTTTAGTACACTTTGTGCGACAATATGATTTATAATTGCAGTTTCTATAATTAAAGTTACAATAAAAGGGAAAGGATAAAAAAAAATATTTTAAAAGCTAAAAACTAATTTATACGTGAGCGCTTTGTGTGTGTGTGTGTGTGTGTGTGTGTGTGTGTGTGTGTGTGTGTGTGTGTGCGTGAGTGCGTGCGTGCTAGCGTGCGTGCGTGCGTGTGTGCGTGCGTGCGTGCATACGTGCGTGCGTGCGTGCGTGCGTGCGTGTGTGCGTGCGTGCGTGCGAGCGAGCGTGCGTGCGTGCGTGCGTTCGTGCGTGCGTTCGTGCGTGCGTGCGTACGTGCGTGCGTTCGTGCGTGCGTGGGTGCGTGCGTGCGTGCGTGAGTACGTGCGTGCGTGCATTCGTGCGTGCGTGTGTGCGTGCATTCGTGCTTGCTTGCGTGCGTGCGTGCATGCGTGCGTGCATGCGTGCGTACGGGCGTGCGTGCGTGCTTGCGTGCGTGCGTGCGTGCGTGCGTACGTGCGTGCGTGCGAGCGTGCGTGCGTGCGTGCGTGCGTGCGTGCGTGCGTGCGTGCGTGCGTGCGTGCGGTCGTGCGTAAGTGCGTGCGTGCGTGCGTGCGGTCGTGCGTGCGTGCGTGCGTGCGTGCGTGCGTGCGTGCGTGCGTGCGTGCGTGCGTGCGTGCGTGCGTGCGTGCGTGCGTGGGTGTGTGTGTGTGTGTGTGTGTGTGTGTGTGTGTGTGTGTGTGTGTGTATGTTTGTATAATATTTTAAATAATGGGGAATTGGGATGAAGCTTTGAGCACGCCTTTTCCTCCAAGTATTGCCATATCTTGTAATCTAACGGATTCAAATCTGGACTGGAGGAGGGCCAGTCTTCGTGCCGGATGAAGTCGATTTTACGCGCCGCCAGCCAGTCTTGTGTGCTCTTCGCTCTATGAGCTGGTGCCGAATCTTGTTGGAATACCCAGTGCCTGGTATTGAACATGGTATGAGAAACATGTTCCAAAAGGTTCGTCAGGACTGTATTTTGATACACAACTGCATTCGTTTTTACACCTTTCTCACAAAAATGTACCTCTGTGAAGCCCCAATAAGAAACTCCCAACCATACCATGAGCGAGGATGGTACAGCGCTTCTTCACTACTGTGTGCGTACACCTTATCATTTTGTTTGTTGTAGCTCTCTTCTACGGTAAAAATTTTTTCATCCGAAAAAAGAATTTCCCGATATTTTTTTCCCGCGTACCGCTTCAACAAAGCGCGGCATCTCTTCAGTCTCAGGTCCATTAGACGAGCATTCAAACGATGTCCTGTTTTTCTTCGATATGCCCGAAGCCCTAAGTCTTCATTTAACATCCTTTTCACTGTGATTCTGCTTAACCCCATCTGAAGTGCCAACAGTTTCTGCTTACGTTTGGGATTTCTTTGAATTCGCGCCTTCACAGCTTTTATCACTGCTGGAGTCCTAACAGACCGAGGGCGACCACTTCTTGACCTGTCATCTACACTAGAGTCTTCATTGTATCGTTTGATGGTACGATAAACGAATCTTTTGGTTATATTCAAATTTTTCAGTATTTCAAAAAATTTGAATTGGCGCGTAACCGCAAAGATGCAACGCAATAACTGCAACACGGTCTTCTTTAAGCGTCCACTCCATATTTAAAAATGAGTAAAATTCTAAAAAGTATACAGTTTTATTTTCATGAACAATTCGAAATTCGAATTCAATAAACTTTTTTGTGGCCAGCATTCTAAAAGAAAAGTTTTTACTGTGTGACAATACTTATGACCTGACTAGGTATTATAGCTCAGTGTAAACGGTTCCATATGAAATGTATGGTGAGCTATATTAATTTATATCTCGAGATGTAATATATATTACATTATATCCCATAGTGCAAAGCGGGCTTTGTGCTCTTACCTTCTTATCTTTTACCCTCTTAGTAGTCTGTGCTATTAGAATTACAGAGTATGTACATGGCACAGAGTCGTTATTTTTATGTTCAGAGTTTAAAATCACTATGTTTTATTTTATGTCTAGAATCTAGAAGTAGAAGTCTAGCTTTAGCCCCTTTAGAGATATTTATATATCATTATATATATTCTGTGAGCTGTAGACCTAAGAACAGAGGCTGCAATAATTATCATATTAGTTTATTACTTTATTAGTCTGTGGGCTGGAAATTTGCGAGCACAGTTTGCGATACGAACGAAACGAACCAATTTGTTTGTATAAAAAATAACACTATTCACTACGTTTACTTTCCCCTACACAAAATAGGATAAATAATAAATAAATAGGATAAAAATCAAATAACAATAGTTTACATCAATACTTAACGGTGTGATCTGGTGACATGATAGAAATAACATCATTTTAAATACTAAACTAAAAATTATACCACGTTACGTGACGCTGCTAAAATAGTGTATTGCTGATGTGATATTACTGAAATGTCATCGTATATGGCAGGTGTTTTCGATTTAGATTTAGATGTTGATACTGTTACTGTTGGAGATTCAGACGAAGACGATATAATCGAAGTTGATGAGGTATTTATGTTATGTTTGATTGTTAAGAATATTGTTGACTCCATTCCCTAACCTAAAATTTTTCGTATCAGAATGAATTTAGTGTCCAAAAGCTAAATGAATCGCAATATGTTCTGCATAGTTTTTATGTTTTTATTTTGGTTTTTTGTATTAACAATTATAATACATTATAATCATTTTTATAACGTTGCTATTGTACAGGTTGATTACGATCCTGAACTCAACGTCAACAATATTGCAGAGTAAGTGTAAATTTGAATTATAAGAATAGAAATATATAATATGATTATAAAACTAGTTTATGTTTCATAACAAAAGTAAATATTATTTTGTACTTTATAGGTCAGAATGCTCAGAAACTATACAATTGTCTGAAGATAATGTAAATCCAGGGCAATGTAAGCGCTTAGGCCCTCAAGATTTTGAGCTACGCAAAGTATTAGGTAAAGGGGGTTATGGCAAAGTATTTCAAGTCCGTAAAATTACTGGCCCAGATGCAGGCGCTCATTTTGCTATGAAAGTTCTTAAAAAAGCATCTATTGTTCGCAACCAGAAGGATACTGCACATACTAAAGCTGAGAGAAATATTTTGGAAGCTGTTAAGGTAAAATTCAATTTGGTATTTAAGAAACATCTAGGATTCATATTTAGATTTACCACCTATAGTTAGAATTTTCAAATGACTACCATTCAAAAGATCTATTATTTTTACTTACATATATAAAGTTATAAAGTTTGAAATTTTATAGTTTTCAAAAAAGTTAAGAACAAAATTATGATTTTCTTTAATAATCTTATTCATTTAACATAAACCTAGGAAGTTAATAAAAAATAGGAAAAATTCTATAGCCAATATTTAGTTCTACTATGCAAAGTTAAAACTATCAAAGCACCACTGTTTGATTTATTACAATCTGTATTGAAAAAGAAAATTGAGAGGAACTTAGGTTCAAAAGTTGTTGACAGATATTCATCTGTCTGAATGAGCCAACTGTCGAAGTTGAGGACTGTCTGTGGCAGCGTCATTTCTGGGCAACATGAGATTTACACATTATCATTTGAACCACATACAAGTGTGAGTAATAATCTAAGAACATATCTCATCCAATACTATTCTGACGAAATCCCAGATTTCAGTCCAAATGAGATTAGAATGGCTCTCCAGTAGATTAGAAATGGCAAGGCCTTAGGCGAGGATCAAATTCGCAAAGAAATCGAAGAGCTAAAATAGGGTGAAAAACTGGTATGTTACATTGTTTAGAGGTTCATCAATTCTTTTCTCCATGGTGGGACTTCTCCAGAGGCGTGGGACAGAACTGCAATGGTCTTTTCTTCATGAAACATGACAGAAACAGAATTTTTTTTATTCAATATCTTTATATATAAAATTATGTGTTACATTGTTTGTTCACAATGAACTAAACAGCAGTACTGGCTGGCTATCCAAGCAGGTAGTATATCAGGAGAGGTATAAGACAGGGTGACATTATATCACTGAAACCACTTAATAAAATAAGCAATGGAAGACATTTTTAAGCTACTGGACTGGAATGGATAGGTATAAATATCAATGGTGAGCTGATGACTCGCTTTCCATTTGCTGACAATAATTATGTATCATGAGTCAATATGGCAGAATCGCTGGGGTATCTCAGTGCTATGCTCAATGAGCTGAAGAGTCTCCCAATGGATATGTATTAAGATGAATATGGACAAAACAAAGGCCAAGTGAAACATCCATGTCGCACCTACTTCAGTAGTTATTGAGTACACTACTCTCGAAGTTGTAAATGAATATGTTTACCTAAGACAAATTATCTGACTGGGTAAATCCAACTTTGATTGAGAGGTCAATCGACGGATTCAACGTGGCCGGACAGTTACATCTTCTTGCCATATTTCTTGATACTTAAAAAACAAGTGTGTACAACCAGTGTATGTCCTCAGTGATGATATATTGGTCTGAGATGAGGTCCTTCACTGCTGGGCTGAATGAACCTGAAGGTTGATTATCAAACTATGGAGAGGGCTCAGAGTTTCTCTGCGTCATAGACTCTGTAATCAGAATATCCACAGTAGAACCAGAGTAACCTGACATTGCCCAATGGGTCAGTAAGCTAAAGTGGCAATGGGCCAAAATGCACCTAAACAACCAATGGGGTACAATGATCTCCAGTGGCAGTCTGGTTACCAGTAAGCAAATTGTACCCCAATTGTACACCAAACCGGTTGGAGTGACGACCTTGTATGAGATGCAGTAAGGTGGCTCAGGACTAGCTTTTATGGCATTCTTTGCAAGAGGCTTATGTTCAGCTGTATGTATGTGATGTAGTGATGGTAATCAAGATGAAATAGAATTTTTAGGGAATAGGCAAATATGGGACAAATATGGCTTAATACTTAAAGGCAAGTTGCCCCATTCTCCAAATATATTTCTATTGTGTAGTTATAAATTCATTATATATTGATTGGTATTTCAAAAATAACATAGTGCAATATTCTGATAATATGAATGTAATAATTAAACATTCATGTTATGCTTACTGAAATAAATGAAATGTATTTTTCACACTATTGTTATTTTAATTTTCAGCATCCATTCATAGTTGAATTAGTATATGCTTTTCAAACTGGAGGCAAATTATATTTAATTTTAGAATATTTAAGTGGTGGAGAACTTTTTATGCATTTGGAGAGAGAAGGTATTTTTCTTGAAGATACTGCTTGGTGGGTACTATGTCAATAACTATAATAGTATTTACATATTATTTTTTAAGAAATACTAAGTTTGCCAATTAATTATTGTTCATAATTAGTTAGTGAATTTGCTTACATTCAATGTACATAATCCTAGTCTACTGATATAACAGCATTGATGGTTTGGTGAAATAGGATAGGAAATAGTTCTAGAAATAGTAGATTGTGATTTAGGTAGACCTAGATAGTGTTTTAATCCTCATTTGCATCAAGCATAGTAAGTATTACTATTCTGTTGTGTAGTATATTACATTTAAATATAACAATTATGGATGCTACCATAAGAGAACATATTAAATATAATATTAACCTCCATAATGGAATGGTAATGAGGTTATTACTTCAAGACTATTTCCACATCAGTTATATGCTTGGGATCCTTTTTGATGGCGAGGAATATTCTTTTTCTAACTGGGGTAAAAATTATTTTCTATAGTAATTATAAAATTACTAGCTGTCCCTGTAAATTTGCTAAACAAAAAAGTCATATCTTTGGAAGCATACCAAAAATTACATATTTATTCATATTTAATATTATAAATATATTTTTTTACATTATCATTTCTATTATAAATCAAATATATAAACAGAAAAACCAGCAAATGATCTTTTTTAAATTACAGACAGACACTACAATTTGTTTCTTTTTATATACATACATATATATAATCATCATCATTACAGCCCTTCACAAGTCCACTGCTGAACATATATATACAATATAGAGCCACGTATCGATTATGCGCGCTCTAGCCGCGCGAAATGGATACCGCCTTGGAACGCGCGCCAAATTGTTCGTTGGAACGCTTAAACATGGAGCGGGCTATTCCATCTGGTGTCGGTTTTTACCGCGCATCAAAGTAGTTAAGTATTGGCGCGCGCGCCAGTTGGGACTAGGGTTACCATATCTCAGGATTTGTCCTGAGATCTCAGAATTTTTGGACTCTTCTCAGGATTTCGGCTGGATTTTGCAAATCTCATGAAATCTTAGCTTAAGCTTACATTTTAAAGATCTCTTAATAAAAAGTTAAACTAATAATAATCTTCTTCTTCTTAATTAATAATTGCACAATTAAAATTAAAACTTATTTATCCAAGTACGTACTTAAACACTTTTATCACATTTAATATGTGAAGATACCTTTTTAAGTAAGGTTTTTTCTTTAAGTATGGATTTATATAATGCCCCACATGTTAAACTCTTCAAATTAGGTATATTGAATTAAAAGCATAGCTGGAACTGAAGACACCGTTAGACTGTTTCTTTCATTCGAACATTGAGCCCCAATAATAGAAAAAATTCTTTCTACGTTTGCATTCTGGGCTGTAATTGCAAATATATAATGACAAATACGCATTATCTCTGGTAATCGTGAAATACCTATTGTCTTAAAAATGGTTAAAGCATGGTATTGAGTATTTCATTTTAAATTGAGATTGATTGATGATGATTAAATCTCGGATTGGGGGCGACTAAATCTAGTCCAGTTTAATCCTCAGAAGACACAAGTTTACGCGTTTACTGCTTTAAAGAACCCCTTTGTTGACACTCACCTTGTTGCCTCAGCCAGTATCGGAATCCTCGGCGTCGACATATCGAGTGACGTGCAGTTTCGTGGTCACTTGGAAGAGAAGGCCAAATTGGCCTCTAAAAAGCTTGGTGTGCTCAGCAGAGCGGGACAGTATTTCATGCCGGCACAACGCCTGCAACTTTACAAGGCGCAGGTTCGGCATCACATGGAATACTGTTCCATCTCTGGGCTGGGACTCCCCAGTGCCAGCTCCTTTCACTTGACCGCATCCAGCGCAGAGCGGCTCGAATCGTCGACGACCGAGTCCTTTTCAATCGGCTCGATTCATTGGCGCCTCGAAGAGATGTTGCATCTCTTTGCATTTTCTATCGCATTTACCACGGGGAGTGCTCTGAGGAATTGTTCGGATTAATCCCAGCCGCTAAATTTCACGAACGCACATCGAGGCAGAACTCCCGATACCATCCACAAACATCTGGATGTTTGGCGGTCCACCACTGTGCGATTTAGAAGATGTTGTCTTCCTCGCACAACTTCCTTGTGGAATGGTTTACCAATAGCGATTTTTCCGGACCGATACGACTTAGGGACCTTCAAGAAAAGAGCCTACTCCTTGTTAAAAGGCCGGCAACGCATCTGTAATTCCCCTGGTTCCCCTGGTGTTGCGGTTGTTCATGGGCGGCGGTAGTCACTTACCATCAGGTGAGCCGCATGCTCGTTTACCCCCTCTCCTATAAAGAAAATGATGATTTACTTGAGTATGGTTAAAGCAGTCCAATCTTCGCAATGGGGTGGAAGTGGAACTGAGTGAGTGTGCGACACTGATGTGATACCCCACACGTTACCCCACCCCCGCTTTGTGGGCGATGTGCAACGCGTGAGCGACATCCATAATGTATAAAAACGATAATATTATGACTTTTTTAAATTGTTAAGTACGTTGGAGAGAATTTCTCAAACTGTAAATAATCTCAGGATTTTCAATGGAAATCAGGCCTTTTCTCCGGACTTTTGATTTTTTCATCTGGTAACCCTAGTTGGGACGGTTGTTTTCATCATTTGTGTGTTTGTTGCGTTCCGAGCTATGAATAACCAAAGTTGCCGTAAATTGATAAAATTATATGGTTCAAAATCACAGCTGTGGAATAGCAAAAGTCGTGTTTATCATAATAAAGCGCTCAGAGAAGATGCATAGAACTAGGAAAGCGGCTGCCGTTCGTACACGACCGACATCCATGTTGAACGGTCAAACATTGGAACAGCTGCCGCGCGCGCCAGACGCGCTTAGTTGATACACTTCGAACATTTTGAACGTGTTCCGCGGAGCGCACTGGTCGGAGCGGTCATTTATGGCGCGCTCGCCAGGAGCACAGTAAATATATAGTAGGAACAGTACGGAAACTTCCTACAAACGCTCGAAACGGCACACTCACACAAACATGCGCAACAGAGAGACTTCTAAGCGCTCATCGCTGTGCTCTGACTAGCCTAAGCGCTCGTCGCTGTGCTCTGACGAGCGAGTGTCGCCTCAAGACTTTAAAAATGCCACGAACGTATTGCGTAGTATACGGCTGTTTGAACTCGGCTTCATTAAAACCGGAGCTATCTTATTTTAAGCTTCCTGCTGATTTTGAAAGGTAAGAATGATTTTTATTGTCATTGTTATAATCGTTATCGAATTATAAGTCCGTGTGATCGATCATAATGAATTCGTGAACTTATTTGTACATCCAGAATGCGGCGGTTTTGAGGCTATTTAAAGCTGATAGTGTAATAGTGGCAACAAAAAGTAAATCCAAAATGGCGGCTGCAATAGGTATCATTTTTTTCGTCATGGGTGCCATTTTCATGGTTTTCGAGGATGTTGAAGCCGATAGTGCTGTCGAAATATAAATCCAAGATGGCGGTTGCAATAGGTATCAATTTTTTCGTCATGGGTGCATCGATCACTTATAAAAAACATGGGTGTCATTTTCATGGTTTTCGAGGGTGTTGAAGCTGATAGTGCTGTCGAAATATAAATCCAAGATGACGGCTGCAATACGTATCAATTTTTTCGTCATGGGTGTCATTTTCATAGTTTTTGAGTATGTTGAAGCCGATAGTGTTGTTGAAATGTAAATCCAAGATGGCGGCTGCAATACGTATCAATTTTTTCGTCATGGGTGTCATTTTCATAGTTTTTGAGTATGTTGAAGCCGATAGTGCTGTTGAAATGTAAATCCAAGATGGCGGCTGCAATAGGTATCAATTTTTTCGTCATGGGTGTCATTTTCATAGTTTTTGAGTATGTTGAAGCCGATAGTGCTGTTGAAATGTAAATCCAAGATGGCGGCTGCAATACGTATCAATTTTTTCGTCATGGGTGTCATTTTCATAGTTTTTGAGTATGTTGAAGCCGATAGTGCTGTTGAAATGTAAATCCAAGATGGCGGCTGCAATAGGTATCAATTTTTTCGTCATGGGTGTCATTTTCATAGTTTTTGAGTATGTTGAAGCCGATAGTGCTGTTGAAATGTAAATCCAAGATGGCGGCTGCAATATGTATCAATTTTTTCGTCATGGGTGTCATTTTCATAGTTTTTGAGTATGTTGAAGCCGATAGTGCTGTTGAAATGTAAATCCAAGATGGCGGCTGCAATACGTATCAATTTTTTCGTCATGGGTGTCATTTTCATAGTTTTTGAGTATGTTGAAGCCGATAGTGCTGTTGAAATGTAAATCCAAGATGGCGGCTGCATTACGTATCAATTTTTTCGTCATGGGTGTCATTTTCATAGTTTTTGAGTATGTTGAAGCCGATAGTGCTGTTGAAATGTAAATCCAAGATGGCGGCTGCAATAGGTATCAATTTTTTCGTCATGGGTGTCATTTTCATAGTTTTTGAGTATGTTGAAGCCGATAGTGCTGTTGAAATGTAAATCCAAGATGGCGGCTGCAATACGTATCAATTTTTTCGTCATGGGTGTCATTTTCATAGTTTTTGAGTATGTTGAAGCCGATAGTGCTGTTGAAATGTAAATCCAAGATGGCGGCTGCAATACGTATCAATTTATTCGTCATGGGTGTCATTTTCATAGTTTTTGAGTATGTTGAAGCCGATAGTGCTGTTGAAATGTAAATCCAAGATGGCGGCTGCAATACGTATCAATTTTTTCGTCATGGGTGTCATTTTCATAGTTTTTGAGTATGTTGAAGCCGATAGTCCTGTTGAAATGTAAATCCAAGATGGCGGCTGCAATACGTATCAATTTTTTCGTCATGGGTGTCATTTTCATAGTTTTTGAGTATGTTGAAGCCGATAGTGCTGTTGAAATGTAAATCCAAGATGGCGGCTGCAATACGTATCAATTTTTCGTCATGGGTGTCATTTTCATAGTTTTTGAGTATGTTGAAGCCGATAGTGCTGTTGAAATGTAAATCCAAGATGGCGGCTGCAATACGTATCAATTTTTTCGTCATGGGTGTCATTTTCATAGTTTTTGAGTATGTTGAAGCCGATAGTGCTGTTGAAATGTAAATCCAAGAGGGCGGCTGCAATACGTATCAATTTTTTCGTCATGGGTGTCATTTTCATAGTTTTTGAGTATGTTGAAGCCGATAGTGCTGTTGAAATGTAAATCCAAGATGGCGGCTGCAATACGTATCAATTTTTTCGTCATGGGTGTCATTTTCATAGTTTTTGAGTATGTTGAAGCCGATAGTGCTGTTGAAATGTAAATCCAAGATGGCGGCTGCAATAGGTATCAATTTTTTCGTCATGGGTGTCATTTTCATAGTTTTTGAGTATGTTGAAGCCGATAGTGCTGTTGAAATGTAAATCCAAGATGGCGGCTGCAATATGTATCAATTTTTTCGTCATGGGTGTCATTTTCATAGTTTTTGAGTATGTTGAAGCCGATAGTGCTGTTGAAATGTAAATCCAAGATGGCGGCTGCAATATGTATCAATTTTTTCGTCATGGGTGTCATTTTCATAGTTTTTGAGTATGTTGAAGCCGATAGTGCTGTTGAAATGTAAATCCAAGATGGCGGCTGCAATACGTATCAATTTTTTCGTCATGGGTGTCATTTTCATAGTTTTTGAGTATGTTGAAGCCGATAGTGCTGTTGAAATGTAAATCCAAGATGGCGGCTGCATTACGTATCAATTTTTTCGTCATGGGTGTCATTTTCATAGTTTTTGAGTATGTTGAAGCCGATAGTGCTGTTGAAATGTAAATCCAAGATGGCGGCTGCAATACGTATCAATTTTTTCGTCATGGGTGTCATTTTCATAGTTTTTGAGTATGTTGAAGCCGATAGTGCTGTTGAAATGTAAATCCAAGATGGCGGCTGCAATACGTATCAATTTTTTCGTCATGGGTGTCATTTTCATAGTTTTTGAGTATGTTGAAGCCGATAGTGCTGTTGAAATGTAAATACAAGATGGCGGCTGCAATACGTATCAATTTTTTCGTCATGGGTGTCATTTTCATAGTTTTTGAGTATGTTGAAGCCGATAGTGCTGTTGAAATGTAAATACAAGATGGCGGCTGCAATAGGTATCAATTTTTTCGTCATGGGTGTCATTTTCATAGTTTTTGAGTATGTTGAAGCCGATAGTGCTGTTGAAATGTAAATCCAAGATGGCGGCTGCAATACGTATCAATTTTTTCGTCATGGGTGTCATTTTCATAGTTTTTGAGTATGTTGAAGCCGATAGTGCCGTTGAAATGTAAATCCAAGATGGCGGCTGCAATAGGTACCAATTTTTTCGTCATGGGTGTCATTTTCATAGTTTTTGAGTATGTTGAAGCCGATAGTGCAGTTGAAATGTAAATCCAAGATGGCGGCTGCAATACGTATCAATTTTTTCGTCATGGGTGTCATTTTCATAGTTTTTGAGTATGTTGAAGCCGATAGTGCTGTTGAAATGTAAATACAAGATGGCGGCTGCAATACGTATCAATTTTTTCGTCATGGGTGTCATTTTCATAGTTTTTGAGTATGTTGAAGCCGATAGTGCTGTTGAAATGTAAATCCAAGATGGCGGCTGCAATACGTATCATTTTTTTCGTCATGGGTGTCATTTTCATAGTTTTTGAGTATGTTGAAGCCGATAGTGCTGTTGAAATGTAAATCCAAGATGGCGGCTGCAATACGTATCAATTTTTTCGTCATGGGTGTCATTTTCATAGTTTTTGAGTATGTTGAAGCCCATAGTGCTGTTGAAATGTAAATCCAAGATGGCGGCTGCAATAGGTATCAATTTTTTCGTCATGGGTGTCATTTTCATAGTTTTTGAGTATGTTGAAGCCGATAGTGCTGTTGAAATGTAAATCCAAAATGGCGGCTGCAATCAGCGGCTGGTATCAATTTTTTCGTCATGGGTGTCATTTTCATGGTTTTTGAGGGTGTTGAAACCGATTTTTCGTTGTTGCTTTAAAAAAGAACACATAAACTGCAAAGTAGCTGATCTAATTTACAAAAAAATAAACAAATTCGGTTTCATAGTACCCGTTCCTTGTTTCCCAACAGTTTATTTAAAAAACCTGTTCATTAGAATGATATTTTTTACACAGTTAAATTCAATAATAAAGAATTCCGAACTTGTCGTAGCAGACGAAAATATTTTTCTGTAAATAATTTGTAATAATCTATACAAATAAATAAAATTGAAGTGTCTGTTTGTAATGTCAAAATAACAGCTTTTTACTAAATGCATATGAAAGTAAATACGGTACTTATGACTAAATAACAATTTTTAAAATTTTTGTCTGTCTGTCCGTCTGTTTGTTCCGGCTAATCTCCGAAACGGCTGGACCGATTTTGACGGTACTTTCACTGGTAGATAGCTGATGTCATAAGGAGTAACTTAGACTACTTTTATTTGAGAAAAAGAATTAGGGTTCCGCGCTAAAAAATTAAAACAACCTAAAACGCGAGCGAAGTCGCAGGGAACAACTAGTGAAGAATAAAGGTACGTTTTCGTCCAACTGCGGCTCGCGTACGTTCCCGCCGAAACTTGTAAAAGGTTACGCGGTAATGACAAAGTTAAAGTTCTATAAGTTGTTGTGTGTTAATATTAAATTGTTTTCCGTGTTTAAACTATCGTTTTTTGCTGAGATTACCTATTTAAATTGTATTTGTAAGGTAGTTATTTAAATTCGATTGATTGATCACTACAGAACAAAAATATAAAAAAAAGCAATATCAAAATATAAAAAGTTACAACCCTATTGCTTCAATGGAGTGTAGGTAATTATATCCTCAACAAGGCTTAGTTTCCATACTGTTCATATTTATACTGTGCCAGGAGCGCGCAATCGAAACGCGGCTTAATCGATACGCGGCTTAATGCTAATTTAGGGTTTAACATGCATTCTTAGAACCAATTATTGTAATTTAATTGGTAAACATTGTTTTTTATATTACAATGAACCTATCTTATGATTTACATGAATCATTAATGTAATCTTAATATTTTGTTAATACTTATATATATTTTTTGTTTTAGCTTTTATTTGTCAGAAATAATTCTGGCATTGGAACATTTACATAGTTTAGGTATAATTTATCGAGACCTCAAACCAGAAAATGTTTTATTGGATGCTCAGGGTCATGTTAAACTAACAGATTTTGGATTATGTAAAGAACATATTCAAGAGGGCATTGTTACACATACATTTTGTGGTACAATTGAATATATGTAAGTTAACATGTTACTGATATTTACATGATTAATATCTAACAGAAAGCGTAAATAAAATAATACTTTTTAGGGCTCCAGAAATTTTAACAAGGAGTGGACATGGGAAAGCAGTAGATTGGTGGAGTTTAGGCGCCTTAATGTATGATATGTTGATTGGTCAGGTATGCCTTTTAGTTTAGACTTTTTATATTATGTGGCACTTATTGTAAATTATCTAGTTACTACTGTTAGTTATTATATTACTACAAATATTTAGATAAGCTAAAGTTTGACCCACTTGTGAGGTTAACAGAAATATTGAAATTTAGCCATTAACCAGAACCCATTTCTGTGACGCTGAGAGTTCAAAATGTGCAGGTTCAAAACATGCATGTAGGTATCAATTATTTGCATGGCCTACAGTTAATTTTTCAGGCCTGGATTTGTGTATTTTATACATGGTAGAGTCATGTTGCAGCTATATTATTAATATAGCTGTAGCACGAATGGGTCGTCTCGACCGGGGAAGGATCATGCTCTCACAGAATACCAGTGTAAAATAGGATCTCAATGCTGCTGTGTTTCTTATGGTGAGTGTAGAGAACCGGAGACCCACCCTATTTACTGGAAACGAGGCATTCCATCTTAGTCCTCACAGGTGACAACACATCTGCATTTTGATTTGTAGTTGAGGATAGATGTAGATGTCTATGGGCCACAGCAACTACTTACCATAAGGAACGGTTGGAAAGAGCTTGTCCACTTGTTATTTTCATTTTATAGAAAAAATTATATAAACGATAAATAATTACCATGTTTTATATAGTCATTCTCTTTTTAGCCACCGTTTACGGGTGATAATCGCACTAAAACAATAGAGAAAATATTGAAAGGGAAACTTATGTTACCTGCTTACCTCACACAAGATGCACGCGATTTGATAAGACGTCTTATGAAGCGTTCTGAGACCCAACGCTTAGGTGCTACGGGTGCCGCAGCGGTCCGCGGACACGCTTTCTTCAAACACGTACATTGGGACGACGTATTTAATAGAAGATTGGAACCTCCGATGAAACCAATACTAGTAACTTTTTATTTATATTTAAAATATTACCAACTTGTTAAGATTACATTTTAAAACAAGTTAATAAAACAGAATCAGTTTTATTTTGGCAAAATATGAATGGATGGCAAAATATGCCTTGATTGGGCATTAATGCAAGTCATTGTGAGCAAACCATATTCGATCCCACTGGACATAGTTTATTGTACTTTGGACTCATTCTGGCTTTAAAATCCTCAGAATTGGAAAGAGGACTGTGCCCAACTGAGCAGCGTTACCTAGGCTGTTTCTTTACCTTTTATGAACAGTTGAAAGATGGAAGTTTAAATGTTTATCTGTTGTTTTTATATCTAGTGCTATAAGTCCTTTTTTGTACACGTCTAAACAAGAGGTACTCACTTATTTGAATCTACCTATACTGCTTCAATACCAGTTGGTAACATCCATTCTAGTTTTCAAGGCAGGGATGACAATACATCTGCTTTATGATTCGTAATTAAGAATAGACATAGATGTCTATGGGTCGCAACATCCATATACCATCGATAGACGTAGATGCCCTTGGGACGCAACATCAACTTACCATCAGGTGAATAGAGTGCTTGTTTGCCAACCTTTATTCTAAAAAACAATACTTTTAAAACCGAAAAAATGTTGGCTCACCTGTTGTGATTTGAACCCGGGACCATACTCATAGTAAAGAGTATGCTGACCACAAGGTTGTTTAGGCTTTTAAACCTAGTATTATCGATCATTTACAACTAGCATTTGTTATTTATAAATCCTCACAATACAACTATAAAATATTAAATAAATAATGAGAAACCAGTGTACGTAATCTACATCAAGTTACTTGATTGGAGTGAAAATAATAAACAAAAATACTATTAATAATATTATGATAGTGTTGCATGATGATAAATATTTTTATTTTTGTTTTCAGTCAAGTGAAGATGATGTTTCACAATTTGATACGAGATTTACTTTACAAACACCTATAGATTCACCTGATGAATCAACTCTTAGCGAAAGTGCCAATCTTATGTTCCAGGTAGTTTATTTTTTTATTAAAGTTAATGAGGCATAAGTTTAATTGAACTTAATTTATGTGTAATAGAAAATAGGCCTTTGTAGAACATTTTAAAATAAAGTGGACAGTGTACACCCCTACGGTAAAACCCTTTTATGTAAGCTTAAGACAACCTGCTTAACAACATTATGCAAGTGTAATACGGCATACACTGTGCTATATAAGTAATGCAATTCTTAATATCACGAACGTAAAACAGTTATTCAAATTATACTAATTTGCATTGAATAGAATAGAAAGAATAGAATAATTTTTTATTCAATATTGATTATTACATAATACTTATTGAAAGTAATTTTTTATTTACCACTGGTTCGGAAAACATCCCAGTCCTGGGAAGAACCAGCAAGAAACCCAGCAAACATAATTTCACTTAACAATAATTTTGTTTATACAATTTTTAAATGATTTTTCATAGAACCAGCATGGTGGCGATCACCCTATTCCCAGGGGTTATTTTCATTCATGTATTCCTTGATATTATAATAACCCTTTTTGTACAGTCTTTCTTTAATTAAACTTTTAAACTTGTTTATTGACAAACTGAATATGTTCTGGGATTTTGTTGTAAAAGCGTATATGTACATTGCCCCATAAATGAATTACTGATTTTGTGGAGTCTAGTAACTGGCATTACAAGTTTATGTTAGTTCCTAGTGTTTAAAGTATGCACATCCTTATTCTTATTAAAGCTATTTATGTTTTTATGCACATACATTACATTCTCATAAATATATTGCGAAGCCAAAGTTAATATGTTTATTTCTTAAAATTTTTCTCTGAGGGACTCTTTACAATTTAGGTTATAAATCGCCCGTACGGCTCTCTTTTGCAAAACAAATATAGCTTCAATATCAGTCGCATTACCCCATAGCAAAATTCCATAAGACATTACGCTATGAAGGTAACTAAAATACACTAATTTAGCTGTCTCAACATCTGTGAGACTTCTAATCTTTCTTACAATATATGCCGCAGAACTAAGTCTGCTTGCTAATTTAGATATATGGGGGCCCCATTGAAGTTTCGCGTCAATAATAACCAAGAAAAACAGTGGTATCCACAAGACTCAACTCCTCCACATTTAACAGCACATTGGTATTCGAATGTTTTACATTAGGTATTGTAAATTTAATACACTTTGTCTTATTGCCGTTTAAAAGCATATTGTTGGCGTTAAACCAATGTACCAATTTCGATGGAGCATTATTTACATCGTCATAATTAATTAACTGCCGTTTGAGTTTGAAAATTAAAGAGGTATCGTCAGCAAATAATACTATATCGTGATTGTCCCCTACAAGATAAAGTAAGTCATTAATATAGATTAAAAACAGGAATGGGCCAAGAATCCAGCCATGAGGAACACCCATTGATACTACTGATCCGGAGGAACCTTTACCATTGATCACGACTTTTTGAGTTCTGTTACTTAAATATGAACTAATAAGTCTAAGCGCTAAATTTTTTACACCGTAATGTTGTAGTTTCCTGATTAATGTCTCATGATGAACACAATAGAAAGCCTTGGAAAGATCACAGAAAATACCTAAGGCATCTTGGGAATTTTCCCAGGCATTAAAAATATATTTCATAAGCTCAACACCGGCGTCAGACGTTGAGCGACCCCTTGTAAAACCAAATTGGTTTTTATGAAGTAATTTATTAGTATTAAAAAAAATTAACAATTGATCCAAAATGATTTTTTCAAAAATTTTACTGAGAGTTGGTAGTACAGAAATAGATCTAAAATTAGCGGGGTCCAATGTACTACCAGATTTAAATAAAGGTATTACTCTACTATACTTCATTAAATCAGGAAACACACCAGAATCGATACAAGTATTAAAGATAATAGCAAGATAGGTGCAATTAAATCTATTATGGACGCAATAACTGTAACGGAAATCCCCCACAAATCTGCGGTCTTCTTAACATCAATAGTTTTGAAGTATTTTACAACATCTTGTGATAGTACTTTTTCAAATCTAAATTCTTTTAAACATGTATTAACATTCTGTTTGAGTAATGACTCGGCGACAGTTGGAGAATTATTCAATGACTCAGTTGGCTTGGTTTGGTTAATTACTCTTATTAATTGGCTTGGTTAATTACTCTTCCTCGGTTATGTATCAATTTTATAAACAGGCTGTCCCATAATTCAACATCACGTTGAGAATAAAAGATAGCTGCAATGAAATAAACAAAACATGAAACTATAATTATGCTGGTCACAGACAATTTTTTTAAACAAAATCTATTTGTTTAAAAAAAATTTATGCGACCAGTAGATCATCTATGAAGCGTATCCAGGGAGCTGCATCAAACGCCTTGATATAATTTTGCTACTTTCTGGTTAATCAGATTTTCGTACTACTTGGCCTGTTCACTAACGTTATTTAAAAAAAAAGATTTATTACAAATCTATATAAACAAAATGTAGCAGGACTTTGCCCACGAATTACTGAAACCGTTGAAGCCATTGGGAATTAATTCCCAATAGTGATTATGATTCCCTGTCACTGGTAAAGTTAACTTCTGTAAATACCCACAAATTTTATTCTTAAAAAGTGCTATACATATAAGTTGTATGTATAGCAAAATGGATTTATCGAGTGGACGTAAATGGCCAAAACCGTAACTCCTTTGAGCTCCATTTTTATGTGAACTAACTTAACACTTTCACTGTCCGCTTTTCAGACATAATGGTAAGACAATAGTAATATAGAACTTCCAACCATAATTTAATAGCAATGGTTATTTGTCATGAAAAACATTCGTCACTAAGATGTAATAAATAAAAATATATTCTGTACAGCGTAGTGATCCTGGTTCTTTTGGTTATAATTATAATCAATAATTCGAGAAAAATATTATTTATCTAGGGGTTCACTTACGTGGCACCTTCAGTAATGGACGAGGTCCACAAGCCACGAGTGATCACGGCGCGTTCCCCGAGGAGGCCACGGCCGCAACATCACAGCGCTTTCGCCGTGCCGCCTTCATCCACCACGCAAGCGCTGCAAGAGGACCTCATGGATGTACAAGGTCTACCTATATAGTGAGTAGTGCATTAGACTATGCCATAGCAATAATATTATCAGAATTAGTCTGATGTAAATGATGATGACTGTGAAAGCATTTTCATTTTCATCCAATTTTGGTATAGATAATTTTTTAACAAATGTAAAAAGAAGTCGACGATTATTATACCAAGTGTAACAAAAGATAGTGTTATTAAGTTAATATAATTTAATAACTATTTTATCCTATCCTATTCAAAAAACAAATCTAGTTAAAATGTAAAGGATTTATTAATTTTGTTAATTATAACTGACATTTAAGTTCTATGAAAGCAAAAATCAAGTAACTTTCTTCTACAAACATAATTATAATTGCTATAAATTATACTTACTAAATGTACTATATAGTTGGTGTTAATAAATTTGTTTTATTTAATCCTCAGAAAGGAAGCAGTTTGGCCTTTTTTTGTATAATAATAATTAACTTAGAAATGGTATTGTTAATGATCTATATATATATATATATATATATATATATATATATATATATATATATATATATCCATATATACCCCTAAGGTGAGAAGAATGGATTAAGTTTATGTTGTCTGTATTAAACGACATTTTAGTTCTGATATTGGTTAGTCCATTCAAAAGGGTTAACAATAAAATGTTTCATAAAAACTAAAACTAAAAAGAATACAAAAATGTTGACATATAGTGACGTTTGTTGTGAGAGTTTGAATCTGAGCTACCATTCTTCGGTACACCATGTTTTATGCCAAAACTCAACGTCAAGTTGGTAAATAATATATATTTAAACATATTTTTAAAAATCGACACTATATCACATATTTCGATGTTGTGGCAAAAATCACTGATTTCCCCCAATTTCGCTTTTTTTTTGTAATAACTTAATCCATAATAACCATGCTATTAATCGCAGTCACAATTAAAACAATAAATGCTGTTAGTTTAGTGAAAAAAAATGAAGTTTGATAAAGTCATGGTTCGATATAATTATGTCAGCTAATTTTGCCTTTTTTTAAAAGTACTATACTACCATGGGCAATTGTTTTAAAAATATGGCCCGTTCAATCAAAATTTCACAAGCGGTAAAATTAAAATTTTGTACAAATAACTTCAATGTAAATAAAATGAGAATATCATCAATGTGGTCGAAGTCAATTAAATACGCATTATTAGAACGTTCACAGTCCACGACTCCACCTGAAGTCTCGAATTGGCTTCAACCAAAGTCCACACAAACCCATGGAGTTCGAAGCCATAATGCCACTTCAATGTCAAATATTTGAGTTGGACTTGTGGAGGAGGGATTTGATTTTGATTTAGACTTGTGAATTAGAAACTCTTAAGTAGGAGATGTGATTTGTTACAATGATTTCTCAATAGCTTTGAAGATATAGATATTTACAAACAAACAACACTTTTAACATTTGCATATTTTTTCTACAAAAATAAAACAAATATCTAATGAAATCGTAGTTTTATTAACGTTTTCACTTATTAAATTCTTAGTCAATATATTATGATATTTATTGAAACATTGAATACAAAATCCTTTTTTAAACTGCGTACACCAGGTAGTCTTTTTTATGGTAACATCTAAAACATCTTTTTTCCTTGTTGTTGAGGTATTTTTTCGAGCCTATGTTGTGTTTGTGGACGCGGACGTAAGATACGCCTTATAGGAACACAAGGTGCATTTTGAACCTGTTTTGATCTGTTACTTCGTGATTATCAAGCACAGTCAGTCTGTCCTTTGGTTGGTGAAGCTCATTATAAATCGAAACAGATCAAATCTACAGCAATTTTCTTGTACCAAATGGTAGTTTTTCTGCAGAGTTGATCTACCAAATTATTACCTTTTTTTCCTCGATTATAATCTAACACCAATGTTCGTTTTAGGACAGGATTTCTTCCTTGTCTCTTTTTCATTGCTAAACCGTGACTTGTAGACAACAACATTACATCCCGTATGTCGTGCCACTATATGCATGATACATTGTATTTTTGGATTGCAGCAAATCTTTTTGACGCTCTTTAAAATACATGTATACGTAATACACAAATTCTCGTTCAATCGGTTTGCTCATCTTCGGTACGTAATTTCGTGTGCGTTCAACGTAATGCGTCGAATCCCAAGTACACATGTAACCGTGGCAAGCGACCAGCGGCGACTGGCGCTCCGGAGCACGCGGCGTGCTCGCTCTCCCTCTTGCAATACCGCTCGCTTCCCCTTTGAGACCGTTTTACCTCGTCCTTGCCAACTCCTGTAACCCCGTGAGCGCGGACTGAGAGCTGAAGGACTGCTTTCGGGTGATCCCTAAAAACTTTTTCAAACACATGATTTTTCTTGAAAGATCCAATCCCGAAATATCCCGATTATGATCATGTGTTAATTTTTCCTCCAACTTTTACATTTGTGGATCCTTTGGCGCGTCATCTTAATTTTAATTTGGGAACATTTTCGTCTTCTGCTTCTTTCTTTTTTCGGATTCCAGGATTCTTTCAAACTTCGGATTTGTTTCAGCTTCTTCAGCTATATCTTTCGCTGCAATGAGAGCCTTTTTTAATCCTTCGCCTCTCGAAAATGTTAAACATTGATAGAATTCTGCCAGTGCCAAGTCAGTCATGGGAGTGACAAGGACATTTGTGCATCATTTTTGTAGCATGTGACAGATCTATGCGCTCTGCTTGCATGGATTTGCTGACAAGATTAACGTGAGATAAAACGCTGTACCAAATGTCTAAAGACAGCAAAAACTCGAACATTGGCTGCAAGTGATATCCGTGGCGATCCCGTGGCAAGTTCGGAAACTACTTAGCTTCCGAACTTTCCACTGGATCAGTTGAGTGTCGATACTCTTCTTCCAGGGCTCTTTTTACTTTGGCGTACTGATATGTCGACTCTACTTTCCCATCTTGTTTCACACACCGTCTTTAAAGTTAAGCTCTTCACATATTTTGAAATAACTTCCCATCTTTTTGTTTGAGTTAGAAAAAAATACAAATAAGCGCTGGAGTATCTCAAGTAAGGAAACTGAATTGACTGAAGTTTTAACTGCATCAGCTACAACAAGGTTGCTTGCTCTACTTCATTAAGGGAAAGTAGTCGATATCGTTAAAATGGATTTTAATATTATGAAAAATACTCATTTAAAATCGTAGAAATAATATTTAATGCCATCAAAAAAAAAAAACAAGTCTCGCAACTCAGTTCTTCTACCGTAAATAGTTGTGAGATCCATGTAATACCAAGTCAGTTAATTTATTCAGTCCCTACTTAAGAGTCCTTCTGCCTTAAGTTATTACGTAATTAACTAACCTCTAATATCTTATAATAACTAACATTTATATCTATAACTAACATCTTATAGTGATCATATCAATATTAAAAATCTTTTATATATATATATATATTCAGGCTTCTAGTTTTATCCACAACGAAGTTATGGTCGTTCGTAACGAAGTGGGGATCGAAAATGGCCTGAACTGTTCGAGAAAAGGATGGTACGGCCATGCCGCTTTTTTGCTCGACTTGGCGGGGGCACTGCCGTGCCCCTAGATCAAAATTAATTAAAATCAATCAAATACAAGAAAAACATGTATCCTGTTATTATTGATTTTTAAAATTAATTAATTTAGTATAGGGTAAACGATATAGTAAATGCCCGCTTAAGGGATTGACGCTCGTTTTCTCATTTGTAAAATTTATTATTGGATAAATGAATTAATAATTTTTTTGATAACTTCAATATAAATCACTAATCACTAGTTACAATATCTTTGGTAATGTAATATAAAAAAAAAATAAACAATATAAACCTCTCGTAACACAGTAATTGCCCGGTGCATCCAGTTATTGCCATTAATCAAATACAATTATTGCCCACATTTCAATTCTCCTATAATCAACATTATTATAAATACACTCAACTAAAAATCGAGATTTTTTTTGGCTTTTTGTAGATTTGCATACATTTCATTTATATCTTCAGTATCAGAAATTGTGTCAGTATCAGAATCATCAATTTTGTAACAAAAGTGACACAAAAACAGCATTATATCTGCATCGTCAGGGATGTTTTTTTGATGCCTTTTTGGGACACAACGTAAATGAAAATATTTATGGGAGGCACTGCAATCGATTCTGTTTTTGATGATTATCTGCTTACACACCATACAAATATAACCAAATTTTACGACAATTTGCTTTAAAACAGTAATTTTTTTCGAGTTCGGTATGACAATGTCAGCTTGTACTGAAATATTGCCTACATTTACAGTCTCATCCTGATTTTTCAATACAGGTTTTATATTTGTTTTGGTTATAACTTTATTAATTTTTCAGTCTTCTTTATTTCTCTCTCTAATTTTTTTTCTTTATCATTCAATAGATTTTCTTTATCTAATTGCTTTTTCTGTAAAGCCAATTTGAAAACCATCAGATGTTATAGCAAACGGCTGTCTCTCTTGTTGACGTTTTCCTTTTCTTATTGGAGTTTTAAGGTAAGCTAAATATTCTCCAAAAGATGATTTAACTTTTATCAAGTTCGGGCTCTGCAAATAAATAATATTCTCTGAACCTGGAACTTCTTTTAACTGGACGCTTGGTGGACTTTTAGATGTTCCCGGAAATCTTAGTACTTCTCGTTGGATATTTAGTTCATTTTGAGGTATTCCAGGATGATTAAGTATGGAGACGACATTTAGGTCAGCTTTAGATATTCCTGGTAGACTTACTTCTGGTTGTACAGGTATTTCAGGTTGGCTCATCATTTGTTTTACATTTAATATTGTGGACAGATTTGTTGTAGGTGTAGTCATTTTTGTATTAATATTAAGAGTATCGTGTGACGATATTTCTGTTTGATATATAGTATCTGCAACTGCGTCTACTGCCACTTCCGTGTTTCGATCGTTTACTTTAGATTGAAATTCTTTCCAAAGGTTATATATCACATTAAGGTGCGGTTCTGTAGTGCTGAACGACTCATCTTGGAATCTGTTACAAAGCGAAGATCCAAAATCGTAAAGTTCTTTAGAAGCATCTTTATGTCGAACAGTATTCTTGCCTAAAAATTTTGAATAAAAGATAGCGTTGGGATCAAACGGGCAGATACCACACGCACACGTGAATAAAGTTGTTATTGATTCTTATGCATTTGAGTTTTCAATGTTATAAACATTTTTTGAACCTTTCTCTGCTACAACTGGTCCTGTGCTCTGACAAATTCGAAAGTTGGTCTCGTCTGCATTAAAAACTCTATTGGTTTGATTGAGAATCTCACTTAACCCTTTTTCCTCAGCGTACTGATGTATTTCGTCAAACCAACCTCGTATGTCTTTTTCTGACACACATGAACTCTCTTTCGTCACTCCTGAAGTTCTGATACTAAGTCTAGGGTGTCTCTTTAAAAAAGCCTTC